AGAGAGAGAGAGAGAGAGAGAGAGAGAGAGAGAGAGAGAGAGAGAGAGAGAGAGAGAGAGAAAGTCTGAAAATAAGTCAGGCAACTGAGGCAAGAGAATAAACTGGGGCGCTAAAAAAAAAGAGGAAAAGTCGGAAAACTAGCGACCATAGAGGGACAGAGACTGATCTTTCATTGGTTTACGGAGGAGCGTCGTGAGGTGTCCTTGGGGGCCCAGCGGGTGACACAGGAACTAGAACTACCATAGGGATAGGAGGGCGGGTGAGAAAGTGGAGGCCAGTGGAATATAAGGGTTTAAAAAAAAAAAAAAAGAAGAAGAAGAAGAACCTGCATGAGGCAGAAAAACGAAGAAAAAGAAAAAACTTCAAAAAAGGGTCAGATGTGGTCCATCTGCCTTGTAGGGCTTGTGGGTAGGGCATAGAAATGGGTAGCTAGTGTGAGGCTAGAAAAAAGTCTTGAGAGAGGAAAATAGGGTAGTCAAAAACATTCAACTGTCCCCCATGTGAGGAGAAGACAGCTGTATTAAAAAAAAGAAGAAGAAGAAAAAAGAAAAAAAAGGGTCAGACAGGAGAAACTGAGCATCACAAGGTTGGTGGAACAACGCACAATGGAGGTGAAAAGTCGATCGCCAATAACATGGTCGCGGTATGGAATGAACCTGGCTTGATAGGTCACCTGCCATCAGCATCCAAGTTCCAACCACCACAGATAAAAGTCGAAGTTAAGCTACATCAAGTTTAATCAAAATCCTCTTTATCGTACAACCAACATGGTTGTCCCTCCCACCAGATTTAGTCAAAGCCAGGTGCGACTTCACTCAGGGATGAAAAAACAAGGAAAAACAAAAAGAAAACATGTCAGGCGGAGACCGATGCGTAATATAGATAGAGGTTTGGAAGTCAGTAGGAATGGAAGAGGATAGGATAGAATCAAGTTGTAGGGTAGGCACACAAAGAGAGGGATGAGGATAGGATAGGAAGAAAGCAGGGGTGGGGGTACAAGTATGTGAGGGAAGGGGGAGGGTGGGAAGGGAGACAAAGCTGTAATGAAAAAGCCGGGGTACTATACATAGACTGCAAGGAACTGAGGGAGCTCGCGAGTATTAGGGGCATAGCCCAAGGTAGGGAATGGGCACATATTGTGAGGCCAAGCATGAGGCATATGATATATTGTAGTTTGAACTTTGTAGTAAGTTTGTACTAAGTTTGTAGTAGTAAAGTAGGCAATAGGCAAAGTATCTGGATGTCGAGAAAACAGCAAGGAAACAGTGAGATATAGTATCATTGAGTAGAAGGTAGCGACAATGACTGGGGAATAGATATTCAGTTAGAATTTGGACATTGACCGGCCGGTGAGGCTGCCAGGCGGCTCTCCCCCGCGCCCCGCCATTTACAGGATGCACATGCTGTGTGTCTGGGTGTTGCCAGTAAGCTTCCCGGCCAGCAAGGGCACCCTGCAAATGAGTAATGATTCGGGGGGAGAGCGGCTGAAGCAACCCCCCCCTTGTGTAAGCGACTAGAGCTGCAAGGGTGGCGTATCTGACTCTTATCTGATCTACTCTTTCTTTTCCTCTTCAACTGCTTCTCATGTACTTTTGGCTTGCCGGTGATGAGCAACCGGACTGATGCCCCCCAGAATAGATGGGGCTTAAAAAAAAAAAAAAAAAAATTAAAAAATTAAAAAAAAAGAAAGAAAGAAAAGAGAAAGTGTTATGATCCTACCTCATGCATGATGCAAAACTGAACTCTGAGACAATGCAAGACTTGCTTAACTCAAGAAGAAGTCAAAAGAGACAAAGAGCGGAAAAAATCAAGAAGGTCAGAAGAAATAGAAGATGAAGAAGAGAAAAGAAGAAGAAGGAGAAGAAGAAGAAGAAGAAGAAGAAGAAGAAGAAGAAGAAGTTTGAACCAATGTCATCTCCCTCTCTTCTCTCCCAAATCCATCTTCTTCCACCTCCTTGTCCTCTTCCAGCATTCAATTAAATACAATAATAAATGAATGAATGAATGAACAAGAACCATATCCGAGTAATCCCCCTTATTGTCAGCACTCAAAGGGCTTCCTTTTCGGCCTCTCTCTCTCTCTCTCTCTCTCTCTCTCTCTCTCTCTTTGGCCTCTCTTGGTAGCAAACTAGCTATGGCAGAACACCCCTGCAACCAGCGGATGTTGAAAGGTCAATGTAACTACTAATGTACCTCTCCTGAGTCATGCCACCATTGCGAAAGAAGTGTTTCCTGTGATTTCTTGGACGACGCAACTCTGCTGACGAGCCCGTGGGGGATTCAGACGCGAAGCATCTGCTCTTCGAGCCTTTGCCAAGGTGGAGAACGTCATGTGCTAAGAAATGGAATCCTTCTCCCGTAGTGACTATGCGAGTTTGATCAGGCACAAAGTGCAGGCCCATGCGTTGGAGCCATTGTGATAGGAACCCTTGATGAGGTTCAAGACCAGCCGGCACCCTGATGAAGGTCCACAATTGCCAAACGTAAGTCTCCCATGTCGGTTCCCTCCTTCCTCTCCCTCAACCCCTTCTCACTTCCTCCTCCCTTCTCCATGTCCTAGCTTGCGATACTTCTCCCTCTACCTCCATACCCTAGGTCTACTTCCTTCCACTACTACTATTCCATAGCCTTGGAGGTCTTCCTCTCCACCCTCCCATCTTCACCACTTCAGGCAAAGCTCCACCTGCCTCACCTTTGGGCCGACCAGCAACAGGACTGCTGGGCCAATGTGCCAGCCTCTTCACGGCACCGAATGATATATTCATCGCCCCCGGCCTCCAGTACCTCTACTCACTATTGGCACTTCAGCCTCTGCCCGGTGCACTAGCCTACTGAAAGTTCCTGCGTTTTGGTGGGAACATCATTGCAGTCTGCAATTCAACCTCCGGGCCTGATCCTCAACCTAACCTCATATTTAACTAAGTACGGGGTTCAAACCATCATGGAGGGGAAAGTCGTAAGAACGCCGATGCCTCAGCCAGTACCACGGTTCGCCTCGCGCCCGCTACCAATCCAAACCTCCACCACCGTGAACAAACACCTGGCACTGAAGAACTGCGCGAATCGAAGCAAGTCGGGGCTGAGCCTTGGATGATACACCTGCTGTAATGAAAGGAGGAGATTCTCTCGATCGGAATAGACGGCGTGTTGATGGCTTGTTCCATGGCGAAACTGACGGCGATGGTGGGGAAGAAGGTGGAGAAAATTCAGAGGGAGGCTTCTTTTTTTTGGAGGCTATATCAGACCTTGCTTAGCCGACGGGACTTACCTGTGCCTACCCAAGTTGCTGAAAAATCCCTACTGGGTACTAGCCAAATTCTTTGTCGTTGTCCGTCCTGGCCTGGCCTTGCTACAAAGTCGGTCTGGTGTCCAATTTCAGCCCTTCCCCTGTAGACGGTAGTTCTACCAATTTCCGTTCTATCGGTTCCACCCCTCCCGGGACACACAAAACAAAGCACGAGAACAGACAGGCGAAACAGCGAAACAGACTCAAGCTCGGACATCACAGCAAATCCGGCAAACAGACAAGCACTTGTGCGTACATACGTCATCATAAGACACAGCAAAACACAGACACAAAAAACACAGCATAACAGATTCTAAAGTCCGAAATCTCAGCAAAGCCCCCCCCCACCGACGGCCCCACCCTACTCCCTGACCACCACTGATTCGGGCGGAGGGCAACATGCATCCCCTTGATTGTGAGAGGTAGCTATGCTTGCAGGTGCCCCCTGTATAGGCTGAGGAGTAGTGGTAGGTAGGTAGTGAAAAAAAAAAAAAAAAAGATCAGTGGCATAAACTTTTTCAGGAAAATGAAGGATGCTCAGAATGAAAATCGCGGGGTGATTACAAAAAGAGAAAAGCTGTTGACACACCACAGACAAATGTAGGGGAGGAGAAAAAGTATCACATATCTCGATAGCATCATCAAATGCATGCACTCTTCGCTACACACACATGCATGCATCCCTACAAACAACTACATGCATGCATATTCCCTTTCATTTGGTGTCTTCGGAGGCACCCTCCCTCACTTCCCACATGCCTGGCAAAAGGATGATGGATGATTTGCATTTATTATGGCGAGAACTCCAAGGAGGGGTCCGAAGGTCAGGCAGGGAAGGGTAGACAGGGACCAGCGTATGCCTACCAAAGGGATGAAGGATGATTTGAATTGATTACTTAAAGGAAGGAGAGGGGGGGGGGGGGTACAGGTCTAGGAATGGTAGAAGAGAGCTTGCCGTGTACCCAAGCTGCTTTTGCGCATATCGAACACTTGGCAAATCCGCCATCTCTTCACCCTGCAACAGCATTTAAGTTGATTTAACCCCCAACAACGTTGAACAAACTGATTTCAGCACTGTGGAATGATGGAATCTGATATTTATTATTTAATATTTATCACCATAATATAATGATAACATTGATAACACAGTCAATAGACACAGACTTGAGAGTGTGTCGCAGAAGAGAGAGAATTTGGACACATCAAAAAAAAAAAAAAGAAAGAAAGAAAGGAAGACGAAAATAAGTACTAAGTTCCTACTAACTGTGCCCAGGGCCCAAGGTTTCAATCTAGTTTTCAAGTACTTCTGATTAGATTTGTTTATTCCTGAGTCCTATTCATTTTCATGATTTCATGATCTCTGACTTCATTTCTTGTTCTTTGTTCATAGCGTTCTTTCCACCTTAAACCAGTAGTACTATCTACTGGACTCCTTTCTTCCCAAAGTGGTCCCCACCATCAGCTCAAACTTTCCAACCCTTGCCGGACTACCAGAAAGTGGTATGGTACCTGGGCTCAGCCATTTGGCTTGGCAGATGGTTTGAAGTTTAAGACTCTTCTAGATGCAGCCATCAAGCACTGGGAAAAGTGCACTTGAGTACTTGGGACCGACTTTACATGGGCCCCGGTTGGCACCTGGGTACGAGGAGGGGATGATAGACATTGGAAAGCCAGAGACTGTGCAACAGAGTTAAAACTATAGCTGTGGCATACTGCGTAGCCACACGGGCCTACAGGGCCCGTCCCGCATTTCCAGCCTAAAAGCCTAGAAATAAGGGCTTACAGGCCCCTGTCGTTTCAGCCTGAAAGACTGAAAAACGAGGGCCTGCAGGCCCTATGCCGTTTCAGCCTAAAACAGGGCTGTTCAGCCCTGAGGCTTTTCAGCCTGAAACGGACGGCCACTTTCGGGCCCTCATAAGATCGACCTACCCTAATACTCAGGCACAAAAACAGGGTTTCGGGAACAGGCTATTTCTGGCCTGTTCCCCACGACAGCCTCAAGCAGGAGCTGCAGCGGCAGCCCCTGACTCCCTTCAGCATTGGCAAGAGCAGCCTCCTGGACTGCCTCGCCCTGCAGTCAGGAGGCACCCGAGTAGTATAGGAAGTTCCCATGCACTTCAAGGGTAGGTAGTTGGACAGTAGGCACGAGTAGTCTTCAGGATTCGGCCACAGCACTCAGGAGGAGCGCTGCAGTAGTAGTTAGCGCTAGCAGTAGTCTTCAGCGCTGGGCGCTCATAGCTGCAGGAGTAGTCTTCAGCGCAGGGCGCTAGTAGCTGGTAGTAGTAGCGTTGGAGAGAGATGGCTG